GGTGCTGGGGATCTAGCTCAGTGGTTCCACTGCCTGCCTTGCAAGCGGAAGGACCGAGTTCAATCCCGGGTACCAAAGAAAAATAAAAAAGAAGTCAAAAAAATAAATAAATAAAATTTTGCAGGGAAGTGGTTAGAAAAAAAGTGTTTATAAATGTTCCAGGTAGGCAGGACTAGACACTGTGTTAGTGAATGGTGATAAACTTTCTACTTTTCTTCATTGTCTTCCCTTCTGTTAGTCTTCCTACCACAATATTTTAATAAAATCTTTCCTACTGTTTTTATTTGTGTTGTTGAATATGTAATACTTTGTCAGCTTCAAATCATGTCGATTTATTTCTTTTCCAGATATAATTGTGTTTTCCTTTCCATCTTCTTCCTCCCTCCCACTTTTCTCTTAGTGCTTAGTCCTGCATATAAAATATTTTGGGTTTTTGCTTTAATCATCCCTTATTTGACTAAATTTGTCCTCAGGAAGTTCTTGGGAATACTATATAGTTCCCAAAATTTTGCAAAGTTGACTGTACTTTTAGGGGAATTAAGGGTTTATGAAATTTTTATCTCAGACCTTGAGTAATAAAAAGCTTAAGAAAGAAAGATCAGTAAACTTAATAGATAAAGAACACTTAGTAGGAGAAGGAAGAGGTGTACTTGATTTTTTTCCCAGCAGCTCAAGAGATTCATGATTTCTATTTAAATTAAATGCCTTTTCTAAAATATGGTATTGACTTGAGTTTTGTTAATTTTCTTGGGCACAGAATATGTACTTTCAGTTCACTTATTTTGGAAAATGTTCCCCAGTATAAAATTGTACATTTATTTTGTTCCAGTGTTTGGGATTTCCTCTGCTGGGTACCAGTTATACATATGTTGGCTCTTTTTGTCTTTACTTTCTACCTGTCATTTTGTCTTTTCCTTTTTCATGCTTTTTAAATTTTCATCTTTGTTTCTGTTTTTTAATGAAACATTTTCTTGTGCCAGTTCATACTCTCCTAGTTTATGTTACATATTTCTGATTCTTATCATCTTTCCTTAAATTCATATATTTCTGCCTTGATTTTCTTCCTAAAGCTAAGTGTCTTCATAATTTTTATAACATAAGGTAAAATATTTCATTAGAATTTTCATCTGCTTTATGACACCTTTCTTCTATTAAATACAATCATGCATCACATACCAATGTTTTGGCCAATGATGGACCACCTATACCACAGTGGTCCTATAAGATTGTTTCTTCCAGTGACACCATAGCCATCTTGGTTTGTGTCAGTATATTCTGTGATGTTCACACAGTGGCAGAATCACCTAAAAACATTTCTGAAATCCCTGTTATTAGTGCACACATGACCATGCTGATCTTTCTCAGCATTTTGTTACCCAACATGAAATAAGTTGAATTATCTTAGCCCAAGTCTTGTGGGAAGTTCCTTTAGCCATATGTTTTTGCTAGGATTTTGGTATTATGCACACATCTTGTTTAGCTTCTGAACTTTCTGACTGGTCCATTTTTGTTTACTCCTGCCACATTTTTACCTAATTTTGTTCTCGAGACAGTTTTACCATTTCAAAGCAAGTTTATTATTTAAAGGAATGTTTTTTCCATTTGTTCTACAATCTGTGCCCTAGGATACCTCACTATTTGCTTTCACTTCCTTGCCTTACAGCGGAACTACTTCCTATGTTAGATTGTCCTGGCAAGCTTTTTGGATTTTTCGAATCCATGGATTACATCATTATCCTCATTTTGATGAAGATGAAATATATGATGGTTTTTCCTATTCATTTTTTATTTTTGTCTGAAATTTTAGGTGAAGTGGAAAAGTACTATTTCACACTGCTCTACTTTTCCTGGTGCCAGATCCCCCTTAATCCAGAACATAATGTTCTAGTTACTTTATAGATCTTATTTAGTTTTAAAGATAAAATCTCTACAATTTGATGGTACTTAGAGTTTTCTTGGTACATTTTTTTCTCTTGTTTTAGGAAAGCTCTACAATAGAAGGAAGAGGCAGTTAATTAGATTAGTATCAGGTAATGGCTCTATAAAGGAATGGGTAACTTAAAAGTGGCAGTGATCTGTGTAGTTTATTTATTCAATAAATACTGAAGTGTATTGAACTGTGTCCTGCATTGCACAACCATAGATAAAGGGATAGTCTAGTTGTTTAAGGAACTTAGCATCTGATGGGGAAGGATACGAATAAGCAGTGCTCATCTAACAATAGATGAACCAATTTCAGATGGTTCTGTGCGGATTATATAAACTAAGTAGAAGAAGGAGCAGTAAGGCTCTCTGAGCAGGTGTTGAATGTGTCGGCAGCGTGAGAGAAAAGCACAGAGTGCTGTGTGAGTGCACACAGAAGGAGCTGTAATCAGAGATGGAATTTCAGAAAGAGCAGGTGCTTGAACCAGGGTGCTGAGTTCCCCAGGCAGACAGACGGGGAGGCAGGTGGGTGTTTTAAGTGAGGAAGATGGCGGGCACAATGGGCAAGACATGGGGAGCAGTGGAGGGAATGGTGCGCACAGACTCCAGCGCGTCCTGATGGTTATAGTGGGAGGCAGTAATACGATCAGGCTGTGATTTCAGAAACCTAGACTCGTGTGAGAGGTGGCAGATACTAATCACTCTCATGTCCCACTAGACAGTTGGACATATTTATTGAGTTGAAGATTTGAATTTTATCCTTAATGCTAAGGGGAACAACTGGAGTATTTTAAGGAGAAGAGTGACTCTTTAGATGTGCTTTTTACAAAAATATCCCTGGTGCTACTTAGAAGATGGACTTGAGGCATACAAGGGAAAAGGAGATAAACTAGGGAGTTGTTCCAGTAACCCACCTGAGAAATGGTGAGGGTGTAAGCCAATGCAGGGTTGCTAGGAATGGAGAAAGGGCAGAGTGGACCAGATCAGCAGATGGTTGGTGTGGGTGGACTTTCGATAGGAAGAATGAGTATGAAATGACCCTTCAGTTTAGGGATAGCCGTTAGGAAGGGAAGTGTCAGACATGTAGACCTTGAGTACTCACAAAATCTCCAGATGGAGCTGCCTGGTAAAATGTAATAGTCTGCAGCTCCAGAGAGAAATATAAGCTAAAGACTAAAAGATGTTAGTGGAAGGGAAAGGAATCAGTGAGGCTATTTAGAGCATTTCTAAGGTGTAAAGACGGTTTGTGAGAGAATTTTGAGAACACTAGCATTCAATAAAGACAAGCAAGGAATGAAGTAGATGGGAAAGGGGAGTGAATAAAGAATAGGAAAACCAGTAGAAAGTAGTGCCACTGGAGATGAGGGGAGAGAAGACCAAGAGAAAGTAACAGTAACTTTTAATGCGGAAGCACGCCAGACGGGATACAGCACTGACAAAAAGTAACTTGGGTTTGGCGATTAGTAGGTTAACATTAATAATCATTAATGATCATTAATCTCTTGAGTGGTTTAATGCAGAATTGGTACAACAGAAATGAACTTACACTAAAAAAGGGAAGAATATAAGTTAGGAACTCTGAAAGCCATCACTATAAAAGATTTTACCTTAGGTTACATAGCAAGACCTTGTCTCAAAAATAGACAAACAAGCAAACAAACAAAAAGGCACACTATCTCATTCAGTTCAAACACATGGCTTTTTTGAAAACACTGTTTTGTAGAATATGTAGCAGAATTCTAAGTTTTATGTCCTTTATAAAATAACATTTCAACATATATGTTTCATTACTTTATGAAAATATTTTGCCCAAATAATATTTTTTTTTACCAGATACTGTTTTTATTTTAGTGTGGAAAAAGAGCTCTTTTCACTTGAGGCTTTCCTGTATTAAATACTGACCTGATAATTTCTGTTACAGAACTTTGCCAGGGTTAAGATGCAGGTAACAATGTCACTGTCCTCCTTGGTCGGCACATCTCAGAATTTTAATGAAGAATTTTTAAGACGTTCTCTAAAGACAATATTGACATATGCCGAAGAAGATCTGGAGTTGAGGGAAACGACATTTCCTGATCAGGTCAGATTATTTCTAAGTTGTTAATTGAAACAGGCTTGTGAAATGAGTACTTTTCTAGACTCAGTGTTTTTTGCTAGAGGATCCTTTGTATATCTTGTGCATCAGAGACTATTAAGCTACCCTTCCTTTTGGAATAGTTCTTTGATGTTTACTTCTGTGCTTTTGTAAATGGAACAGTAGACTTAGGCAGTATGGAGACAAAGTTTTCTGATGAAATATCCTTACTTATTAAATAGTAATTTGCCTTAAAAATTAAGTTTCTACAAATTACCTTTCAGTAAAATCAGAAACATAGTAGAAAATTTTCCTTTTTTAATCTTATGTTTCTTATATCCCTACTGTTTATTTCTACTTTATAGCACTATTTGTTTCCAGATGAAAGAATTGAAAAGGAATTTATGTAGTTTACTATCCTTCACTTACCATATCCCAGCATACTTACCTTCTGTAGAACTGCATCAGTATTATGCTTTGTTCTGAATCTTCAGATGTTTATCTGAAAGTCCCCCAAGGTATCTTAGTGATAATGAATGACAGTGTTATGCTGCAGGTCCAGGATCTGGTTTTCAATCTGCATATGATCCTTTCTGATACTGTTAAAATGAAGGAGCACCAGGAGGACCCTGAAATGTTGGTCGATCTGATGTACAGGTAGTGCTTGTTTGATTCACTTATTCTTTGTGTAGTGGATTTCACATTAGATAAGAAAATAAATATGCAGAAATTATTAAAATTATTTTTTAAATGATAGATTGAATAGTCACTGAGGAGTTTGAGGCAGAACTGTGAGTTTGATACCAGACTTGTTACACAGCAAGTTCAAAGCAAGCTTGGGCTGCATAGAGAGATCCTGTCTCCAACAAAACCAAATGGTGCTTTTCCCAGGCTGCTTTTTCAGATCTTTCCTGTCACTTTTTTCAGCAACTTTGCATCACAGTTCAGTATATTAATTGATTATCAAAAACTAGAGGACTTTTATTTATTTTTTCTTAGTACATGTTTGCAGTATGTAGTGACTGCATTCATTGAGGAGTTGGCCCATGTACGTAACACATCTTAATATTTGTATCCCCTTCTCTTCCTTTCTTCCGGCTCCCTCCAACTCTTAGTACCCTTCGCTTTTGTAAAAGATAATCATGATACATATTTAACACCCTCTGTCCTGGGTCTCAGTCTTCCTAGCAAGTCCTGGGATCCATTTTTTTTGGTACCAGGGATTGAACTCGGGACCTTGCGCTTGCGAGGCAGGCACCGGAACCACTGAGCTAAATCCCTGGCCCTAATTGTCCCAATTTTAAGCATAGTTATGACTACATGTAGTATTTCTAAGGACAAATTTTGAGAAATCTGTAATTCCTGTTGTATACTAATAGATGCAGTAATAAAATTTCAGAATTTCTGAATTATAGACATAAAACAGTTTTATTCTTTTTAAAATAAAGGTGACACAGTGAAACTACATTTATGTTTTGGTTTTTTTGCATGAGTATAAAACTTCTCTGTATTCCCAGAATGAATACATCACCCCCCAGACCTTTCCCTTGCTTCTTTAGTGGCCAGGTTTTAATAAGGCCTGTCTCCTTTGGCCCCCACCCAAACTGGTACAGTCTAGTCCATGGCCCACAGGGACTTCTCAGTGCTTTTCACACCATTTAAGAGCTGGTCTTAGTACGTGGTGTGTGGGACAGAAGCCGGTCTAGGTGAACTCTGAACATGCTGTCTAAACTCCTCCTGGGTTGGGAAGGACATGCTAACTGAGAAGAATCTCTGTTCTGATTAGAATTGCCAAGGGTTACCAGACCTCTCCAGACCTGCGGCTGACCTGGTTGCAGAACATGGCTGGCAAGCACTCAGAGCGAAGCAATCATGCTGAGGCTGCACAGTGCCTGGTCCACTCGGCAGCACTTGTGGCAGAGTATCTGAGCATGCTGGAGGACCGCAAATACCTGCCTGTCGGATGTGTGACATTTCAGGTAGGAATCTGCCAGGGCTCTCTTTGGTTTTAGCTACCGCTCACTATAATGTTTGGAGTCCTTCAGTTTGTAAGAAAAAAATGCAGAAACTTAAGTCATTAATTGTTGTTAATGCATTTTAAAAGAATACTTTTTGCGACTTGTTTCCACAGTTTCTTACCTCTGAATTAGCAGTGCTGTATATATTTCTTCTCTCCCTTTACCACTTGGTAGTGATATAGACATCAGCATCGTTGAAGATGTACTACTCTCAAAATACTGGGAACCAGAATTCAGTTGAAAAACTCACTTGGCTTTTTTTTCGGGGGGGTACCGGGGATCGAACTCGGGTCCTTGTGCTTGCACAGCAGGCAGCAAAACCACTGAGCTAAATCCCCAGCCCTCCCTTGGCTTTTACTTAGCACACCAGATAAACTGACACTCTGCATCCCCTGCCTGGCAGATGGTGGTGCATTCTCTGGAGGGTACAAACTTCTGACCATCCATTGAAGTCTTTATGTAGCAAGAGTCGGTTAACCTTACTTTTCTTCAAAACCTGTTAAGGCAGGTTTGGAATATTATAAAATTTAGTTAAATATCATGGCTTGCGACAGCATCAGAATGCAGAAAGAAAGCTACTGTTTCTAAAAACTAACTTGAATGTTTTGCAAAGATTCAGTAAAGGTGACTCTTCAAAACAGTTGCTATTAATTAATTTTGGACAAGACAAAAAAAATGAGGGAAAATTTCCTAAAAATCTAGGATAGTTTGAGAATCCTCCAAAATCAAGTTTTACTCTACTGTTTAAAGAAAAGACTTTAGACCTACTTCAAAAATTGACAAATTAGTGTACTTCCGCTGTACGTGTTTAGGTTAAAATCAAATATTTAAGGTATGTGCATGCCGTTTTTTAGAAATTGTGGCTGATCTCAGTCTCACCAGATAAGACCACTTTTATTACACCTGCCTTTTTTCATTAACTCAGTATTTATTAGGCCAGCCAAGAGACATTTTTGTACCTAATTTCCCATGTAGAGTTTTGGGATCAACTAAATTGAAAAGAAAAACTGTGTAAGTCTCCTTAGAAGTTTATGTCATCAGGTGGTCGTGGTGGCACACACCTGTGATCCCAGCACTCAGGAAGCTGAGGCAGGAGGATCGGCATGAGTTCAAGTCCAGCCTGAACTACATAGTGAGACCCTATCGGGGTGGGGTGGGGAAGAAGTTTATGTCATTTATCACTTATTTAGCCCAAATTTTCTGTCTCATAACTTTTTGTGGCGAGAACAATTATCTAGAAATGGTATTGTCATTTTGATGGCGTCCTCAAAATACAGAAGTTGTTAGAGATTTAGCCTCAACCCCCTCCCTCCAGTGCTGAGTACAGAACCCAGGGCCTCGCTCACGCCAGGCAAATGCTCCGCCACCGGGTTACCCCATCCTTTTCTTTCTAAGATCTAATCTAAAAGTTAAATTTCACCTTCAGTTCTTGCTTCATGTACATTTTTCATGCTAGAAAATTAATTCCAGTTTACAAACCTTCTTCATCTCTCCCCCTAGAATATTTCATCTAATGTATTGGAAGAGTCTGCAGTGTCAGATGATGTTGTATCTCCAGATGAAGAAGGTATCTGCTCTGGAAAATACTTTACTGAGTCAGGACTTGTGGGATTGCTGGAACAAGCAGCTGCTTCTTTCTCTATGGTAGATGACTCTTGTTCTTTCTCTTTCTACAGTTTTGCAACCTCTAAATTATCCGTGATGAGCATATTTATTCTCTGCCTTGTGACCTGCCTTGCCTGTGAGATAATTTCCTCCAAGTACTTTTACAACTGTTTAGGAATAAATTTTCTTTTCTAGATTCACCATTGCTTACTCCTTTTTATCATAATAACCTGTCATTGTCCTCAGTGTTTTTCATATAAAGCAGTACATAGATGGATATTTTTGGTTCACAAAACGTATACCAAAAAATATTTTCTAAAGCCTTTAAGGTAGTGGTGACAGATCTATGTGTTCTGCAGCAGGCTGATTGTATCATTGAAAGCTCTAAAAGGTTCACCATCACTGCTGTAAGATAAAAAAACAGAACCAAATAAAACAAAACTTCTGTGAGCAATTTAAGTTCTGTTTGGGTAGACTAACATGGCCCTATTCCAAGGGCTGGTCTGCTGGGTGAAATGCAGATTCTTCTTTCTTCCCGGTGTGTGGTACCCACTGGGTGCATGGTGACCTTTACATGGAGACCTGGGGCTTCCCCATGAGGAGCTTTAGGAACTGCATCCTGACTCCTTGCCTGACTGCCCTCCTGTTGCCAGTCCTCTTCCCCATCTGTATGTGAAGAACTGAGCAGTCAGGTGGAGCCTCAGTGGAGTGTTTATTAGCAGGGGAAAGGTAGCCAGACCCTGCTTGCTCCTTGAACCTGCTGATAGCCTCTTTTCTGTGGCTTTTCTGCTTAGTGTTCAGTGTCCCAGACCAGGTTTAGGAGACACTGAGGTTCATGACAGATTAGGAGCGAAGCTGAGGTGATGCGCAGTGCCGAGCTTCTTCCCCATCCCTCGCCCCTGTCCTCTAAGGTCTTGGCTCAGGACCTAGATTTAGAAGGTGTACTGCTGGAGTTCAAATCCTGGCTCAGCTGCTTAATAGCTGTGTTACTTCAAGTACAGATTATTCAGTCTCTTGGGTGCCTCCCTTTTCTTTCCTGATAAATATATCTAATAATGTTCCTACCTTAGGGTTGTTGTTTGGTTTAAATCAGTTAATATGTGTAAAGTGCCTGTCTCCAAGTAAGTACTAGTATACCGGCTGTTGTCACTGTCTTTATCTTTATTGGCATTTAGAACCAGCTCATTTAAATGCAATGATTCTGAGATTCTTTAAGAATATTTTTCACAACTTAAAATATTAAATCTCTTTAAAATATCTTAACTCAAGGGACCTTGACCATCGCAATTCCATTCCCCAAACGGGAGGAACTAACAGAGGAAAAGCTTTTTTGCTATCAATAGAATATTTTTAGAAACATAGCAGAGTGTGTGTAATTTTTTTTTTTTTTTTTTTTTTTTGTACCGGGGATCGAACTTGGGTCCTTCTGTTTGCACAGCAGGCAGCAAAACCACTGAGCTAAATTCCCGGCCAGAATGTGTGTAATTTTAATAATTCACAGTAGTGCATTTAGATCAGGGGACGGTGGCCTGTGTTACAGAAATTCTTTTGCTTGTAATTTTCTTTTTAATCATAACTACATACACTGTACATGTAATTACATGTTATAAAATTATGAATTTTATTCTTTTTAGTCTGTTTTTAATTAAAGTAAGACATTTAAGTTATGCTGAAAATATTTCAGTATTTCAGCTATGTTACTACTTAGATATATTCCTGTGAGCTAACTGGAAAATACAAGGGCCCTGTGTTTGTCTCTTTGGCAAATGCTGGTCTGTGAAGCAGTGAGAACTTGCTGGCTTTGGAAACCTCTCTCTCCTCTCTCCAGTGCCACCGCACTGTCCAGGGTAAGGGCTGAGGCCAGTATAAGCACATCTTGTCCTCAACGTGGTTATAGGTGAAAAGGTAAATGATTTTAGTTTCCCAGGAGGCTGCAGGACATCTGAGTATAGAATTCGGGGTCTCTGACCATTATCATAATTGAATTTCTTTTACTCTTCTGCTCAGAATTAGTTTCTGCAGGAGTGCATACACTTCAGTAAACATATGCACGTATAAGCACATTTACGTTGGTGAAGTAATTGTGGGTAGATAGAAGCAGAATGGCCTCTCAGATTATATGGAACTGTAAATATGCACGTGTATACTATCTGCCCATCCAGAGGGGATGACAGCTAGTGTAAGCATCTTTTGTTAAGGCTTAATACAGTTAAAAATAATGGTTTGCTTTTATATCTTAATCAGAAAAATTTCAGTGGTATTGTTTTAATAGAAAATTGTGAATTTATAAAATGTAATTATTTTATTTTCTTATTGATGTAAAAAGAAAGCACTATCTTATAAACATTATTTTCATAGGCTGGCATGTATGAAGCAGTTAATGAGGTTTACAAAGTACTTATTCCTATTCATGAAGCTAATCGGGATGCAAAGAAACTATCCACAATTCATGGTAAACTTCAAGAAGCATTCAGCAAAATTGTCCATCAGGTAATTATTCTAATTTATAGCTGTAGTATAAGTGGAAAAAAACTGTCTAAAAGCCTTAGTGTTCCTTTGTACTTGTGTCAAACTAGATCCTGTGAAAGGACCTTTTTAATCAAGTTTGAAATGAGTAGTCAAAATGATCGTTCATGGCTAAAGAGAGTCTTATTAATAAACAGTGAATTTCCCTAAAGTAAATGATGATCATTATAAACTTTCCATAAGATTTTTAAAAATAGATTACTAAAAAATAAATAAATAAAAATAAATTACTAATTAGCAAATTTTTAAACTTTGATTTGTTTCACAAAGTAGTTTATAATTGAATTTGATTTTAAAATTGATATCTGTTCCTTCACTGCCAAAAAGTTTACATTTAAGTTAGTGCCTGCAACTGAACTTTAACCTTCCTAGTTGCATTCAATTGTCTTTGATACAGTTGTGATATGAATGTAATACTTAGTGAAAATAGTAAAATCAGTGTCTTATGTGCTGTAATTGTAACTATGGTTATGTAAGCCACGTGTTATCACCCAAATTAGAATCAAATTAAACTTGGTTTACAAATGAAGTAGACCACTAGCAGCTGATCTTATTGAAGCTGAATTCTTGAAATATCCTCGGAGCCTCCTCCCCCTTGCACTTCTCTCTTCCCCTCCTTGTGTACCCATGCTGTTACTGCTGCCACCTCCTCCAGGAACAAGGGGGAGTAGTGATGATGCACTTGGGTATTATTACTAGTCTTATTTGATTGTCTTTCAGCTTGGCCTCTTCTCTCTTCCCCTGTGGGCTAGTCTATTATAAGCGAATTGGTATAATCTGAAAGTAAAATAGGGCTGCTAATCTGTTAAGATGGGACTGTCTTGTTGTCTCCTAAAATACACAAGTTGCAAAAAAAAAAAAGGTTGACTAGGTTTCCTGATGCTAACAGGAGGATCTTTTAGTCAGTTGTCCATACACTATGAAAGCAACTTCCTCCCAACTTCCAGAGCCGTAAACCACAAATTATGCATATCAGGTCTGGAAGATCTGGAGCTAGTAGTGTCCAAGAAACTGTCATCCATTTGTGTCAGTGACATTTGAGCAAAATTGCCATTTGTGTTTCGGTTTAACGTGGCTGTTTCCGTGAAGTGCAGCTCACCTTAGAGAGCTAATCTAGACACATAAATAGAACAACAGCTAGTTCTTTCCCAAAAATTTGTACTTTCACTTAAAAAGTAATTTTTTTCACTTAAGAAAAACTTAAAGGTTTTAAAAGGCAAAATTTAGCTTCTAGGTTTTGAAATAGTTTATTAAATTATTCTGGATATTAACCGAAAGAATGTGCTGTTTTAAATATGTTGTCATCTTCTATTCCTGGAAGAGAATTTGTGGTATGGTGCCTTACACTATTGAACTTCCTTTGGCCTTTTTTTTTCCGTTGTTGTTCCTTTTAAACATTTTTTTTATGACTTGGATTTTTTTACTTTTTATTATACAGAGTACTGGCTGGGAGGTAGGTAATGCTTTAGTTAGTTAAAGACACTAATAGATTGATTTGATCAGATTTGTTATGCCAATGCTTTGCCCACATGTGCTAGCTGTGGGTGTTCTGTTGCTATGTGCTATCAACTGAATTCATTAACCAAAGAAATTTTGTTGAAATAACTGTAAGTTATTTTAAGAAATTTATTATTAAGAGGTTGTAGGCAGTGCATGAAAATCCTTGTTACACTAATGAGATTCTTTGGTAAATGAGCCACTTTGTCATCACTTTAGTTTGTTTTTATCCTTTGAAGCATTTCTTTCATCAACATTTACACACAGATTCCTTTTTTTAACAATATTGTTTCACATCATTTTACAGAGGTCGATTTATGTGTTATTGCTCAGAGGTATAAATAGAAAATACTATATTTTATCTGATCTAAGATACCATCACTTATAAGAAATACTATTAATTTACATTTTTAAGAGAAAAAAAATCTGTATACTAATTAGTTGAAAGGTGAATGCCAACTACAGAGATCAAAATGCAGACAAAAATTGTGTCTTAGAATTGATGAAATACTGTATTAACTTGATCTTGGGTCACTTTGCATTGAGTGTAAGTCCTAGTGAGGAAAGAAATGCAGTTTTCCCATTTACATTTTGTTGGGGGAAGGTATAAAGAGATTGAGGGACATTGAAATTTAATTTGAACTCATATTCTGACAGTGATTCATTGGTATGTCATAGAGACTACTTGTGCTTTGGTTGTATAGTTAATATGAATCAAATTTTACCTGAAAATGGCCAGGAAGAATTGTTAAACATTGGTTTATATCTTTCTGTGAAGGAAAGAATTATACACTAATTTATTATAAGGAAGTTAAGCTAGGTACTAGTAAATCAGGTTTATTTAAAGTTAGGGGTATATATAAAGTTGTGTGCTTTGCCTGTCATTTTGTAGTCAAGTTTATGTTGACTAAATAGCTTAGAGAGTTCTCTGGTTGGTTCTGCATTGAAATCCTTGTTTGAGGACCCAAATAGAAAATCTTAGAAATAAATGTTCCAACTAAGTTATCTTCCATTTCTGAAATAGTACCTGCCTTTTACTTTTCTTTAGATGAAGCCAGGATTTATATGTCTACTTTAGCTTTCTAGTGTGAACATATATGATCTTAGTAATACCTAAGATGATATGGTTACCTATGAGAAAGTTCCATATGGATATTCTGATGTGCAATACAATTCATTGAAAATTAGATGTATAGTGAAAATTAGAAAGACTTAAACCTCTGAGCAGTTTATTACTAGTCTACTCACTGCTAAATCGACCCCTGAAAGGTGTAATTTTCACTGGTTATGACATTAATACCATTCTTTCATCATGTTGATTGCATGGTAAAAGTCACACAGACTTTATTTTCTTGTTTATATTCTTGTCACTACTTTTTACTGGACCTTTAGCTTTGTAGCTTCTAAATTTGTTGCACGTTTGTTTTGCTTTTCCCTTGTAAAACTTAAATGGATGCTTGCATTTTAAAAATGTGTTTGCTGCCATTTGCTGCTTAATTGTTTTGAAATTTCCCTAATTAAAATGCTTTCTGTTTTCTCTTCTCTCTTGCCCCTGGTTGCTGACCCTACTCCCTACTTTTACTATTGTCTATTGTGGTAAGTTCCTATCTTGTGAATATTTTTCTTTTTGACTCTGTGAAAACTTCAGTAATTTCATTTTTTTCTAAAATCATGTTTCTTATCTAATTTCTTAGTATCCTGTCAGAACTCTGCCTAGATTGAGAGTCAGTAAGGATAATTTATATGTTGTAGAAACTCTCTTTGAATTAGTAATGCTCTTGACTTCCAGGAAAAGCCCTCTGGGCTTATATAATGGCAGTATGTTTCATTTGCATTGTGTCCCTTGGCTCCATACAAACTGTTTGAGCTAGCAAAGCTTTTAGAGAGTGAGAATGAAAGCCCACATGAATACCTGTGAAGGGTAACTCTGAAACTTGATATCTAGCAGTGTGGTGGTCTGTACCACACAGAATAACACACTGTGAGCCTTCAGGAGTTCTGTGGCTGTTACTGCCTCTGCTAGTGTAGTATCCACTTTTATCTTAACTTTTCCCAGAGCCCTTTTATTTTTCTTGAAATAATAGGAAATAAATAATGTCTCCCATACAGTCCATTTTAAATTATTTTCAGAACAGGAATGTTTGATTTCTATATGAAAAGTTTTTTAACCATTTCATATTTTGTGTGTATGTATGTATTTTCAAAAGATACATCCGTCTTTTGTCAAATAGTGATCAGGTTGTATTCAGAAGTATGCTATTCCATGTTTACATTTTTCACAAAAAACAGTCTCTAGATGTTGACAACATAGTGACATGACACTGTCTCCATTTTTAAAAAGATTGTAACACGTTTAAAGGGAGTATCCTGGCCCAGAGAGGTATAGTACCATCTCCAGAGAGGCGAGACGTTGGGGTTAGCTTTATTACACTTAAACTCCACTAGATCACATTGGAAGTGGGGTTACTCTGCTTGAGATCGAAACGTGCACCGTGGGTACCTTAACTCTTGTCTGTGGATGTCTTTCCATGGCGCAGCTGTGGTTCTGCCCTTGCTTACTGGGTAGGCTGGGGGCGAGAGACTTTCACAGTTGAAGTTTTTCAAACTCTGCCCTTTTTCTGTTCTAGGCCTCATGGCCTGCAGTCCCCTTCCCCACTCCAGTACACACACAGCACACTGTTCTCACATTCCTTGACTCCCTGTGGCCGCTCCTCTGTCCTCAGCGCTGGGGTCCACTGTCCTGTACCTTTCACACAGGCAGGCTCTGGCACCAGGGCCTTTGCCTCGCCTTGTCCTCTCCCCAGGGGCCGCACAAAGCAGCCCACACCTCCTCCCTCTCTGCCAGGCTGCTGCCTTCTGGCCGAGTCCCGCCCGCCCTGGCTGCCTCCCTCATCACCTTGCTCACAGGTTCATCACAGGTGTCTGCGACACTTTGCTGACACGCGGTAGGCACTCAGTAACTGTTGGAATGGATGAGCAGTTCTGCAACGCATGCTGTGCTCTGCATAAACTGCCTTTTTCTCCTGCTCTCCGCTGGAGCGTCCCTCCTTCCTCCAGCCTCCACTTGCCCGGCTCTTTGGGATGTAGAATCCCATCTCTGCTGTGCTTGTCACTTGGTTTCAACAACATGGCTCTTCCTTTCTTGCTGCCACTTTCCATGATAGCATAGATCACTTTGTACTACCTTTTTTATCCTCGAGGAGCAGTTGTATTTCTGTTTATTTTCCTGTTACTGAGATAAACAGTAGCTAGCAGGAGAGACTCAGTAGTTGTTTTCCTCAAGCTGCATGTCAGTGTGAGAAGGTACCTAGGGAGAGGTAGTTCACTTTTAGGCTGCATTGATAAAATCCACTGTCCGGGTCCAGAGAACAGCGAGCCCCAACCCCTTGGGGTTCAGATCACACCCCGATCCTGTCTGCTTCCAGGAGGCCACTAAGATACACCGCACACAGGACAGTATTTCCTGTCATGCAGACTGACACAGACTTGGGGCGCTGGCCATCTCCACGTGTTTAAAGGGCCACACTGTGAAAGTATTGGAATACTGTTTTAAACTGGAAGCCTCTGATATGCAGCTAGAAAATGGCATTTTAAAAATAGGAATATATTGTGTATGTGTGTGACATTTTGAAAAATAACAATCACCAGTTATTAATTTTTCAGGTACTGTTTTATTTCCCATGCAGCGCCCCTCCCTGATTATTACTGCTGCCTTCCCCCACTGGCTTACTGATGGTCTTAATCAGAATTTGGTTGAATTAATTTAATCCAGCTAGAAAGATTTTGTTTGCTGTAGAAGTCAGTTAAATATTTGTCTATTAAATTTTCAAATAGTGTTTTTGTTTTGTTTTTTTTGGTACCGGGGGTCGAACTTGGGTCCTTGCGCTTGCGCAGCAGGCGATGAAACCACTGAGCTAAATCCCTGGCATTTATCTATTAAATTTTGAAATAACTCTGAAGAATGTTTTAAAATTAGAAACTTCCAAGTTTCTTTAGCACCAAAAGCATTTTTCTTTAAAACTCATTTTTTTTTTTTTTTTGGTACCAGGGATCAAACTCAGGTCCTTGTGGTTGCACAGCAGGTGGCAAAACCACTGAGCTAAATCCCCAGCCCTATAACTCTACTTATTTTGGACAAAAATATGGGGCTACTTTTGCACACTAATATTTTCCCTTTGGTATAAAGATCAGAGTTTTCTATTTTACTTAAATACCTGTTAACATTTGTAATTTAATTTATATGCCCTTTGGTTTTTCCTACATAGGAAGAATAAATATAAAGCAAATCAGGCTTAAAGAGAATTCAAAGGAATTTAAATACTTATGAGTGGTTATGTATATAGGAGCTGCCACAAAATCCTTCTGAAACAGCTTTGTGTCTGAATTGTAAAAATTGCATGGAAAGCGTCCACATATTTATCTTTATTGAAAGAATATTCTGCAGACATGCTTGTGTGAGCGTTAAGGTGACAATTCTGAGATCAGTGTATGGGTAATGCATGTAGTAGGGGGTTGGGCCTTTAGAATAATCTTATCCCAAAGAATTTTTTAAAAGTATCTTGTATTCATAGATATTTTTTCTTTCTATTCCATTTTTATTCTTCCACATGAAAATATTTTCATCAACTCAGGAATATTAATTACAGATTTTTTTGCTTTAGTACATCTGGAATGTCTTAACATCTTACTGATTTCTGTAGGCCAGGTGCTATGCTTTTATAATCTTATTCTAATATATGTAAAGAAGTTATAGAAAAGGTAGTGCTAATTTGAAGATGTGTTAGTGTTGTTTTTAAAGTTAACTTTAATATGTTTTAATAGTAGGACAGTTAAGACAGTTTGTGTTATACCAAGCATCTTTTCTTGATATAAGAAAAGTGATTTATCTCAGTTTTATACTTAGACCAATGTTATTCTTTATACCCAGTCTGAAAAATATATCATAAAGGGGCCAGGGATTTAGCTCAATGGTTCTGAACGCTGCCTGCCTTGCAAGTGCAAGGTCCCAAGTTTGATCCCCAGTACCAAAAAAAACTCTGAAAAATATATCATGTGTGACTCAGTCACGTGGTAAAAGCCCTTGTTGCATAATGTTTGTTAGAAGTCATGAGAAAAATACTATTTACTTTGTTTTTAACTTTCATTTGAAAGATGAAAATATAATTTTGAACAAAAACTTTTTACAGTGTTTTAGAGATTTTATACTATACCAATCTAAGCATAATGTGAAAACCAGAAAGACCTTACATTAAAGTTTCTTCATTTTCCTAAACCTAGGATGGTAAGCGGATGTTCGGCACCTATTTTCGCGTTGGTTTTTATGGAACCAAGTTCGGGGATTTGGATGAACAGGAATTTGTTTACAAGGAGCCTGCAATAACCAAACTTGCTGAGATATCTCACAGATTGGAGGTGAATGCTGTGTGGTTCATAACATGTCCTCTTTAGTGTGTGTTCTCTGGAATGAGTAGACTTTCAGATCTGGAGTGAATCGTTTAGTGTGCATGATCCTACCAAATAAACACTCCTTAGGAGTACAGGGATTTCTGATAGGCACAATAATACTTTAAAAATATATTTTATGGCGAGAGTAAAATAACGTTGTTGTTGTTTTGAGGCAGGGTCTTACTATGTAGTTCAGGCTAGCCTTGAACTCACTGTGAAGCCCAGGCTGGCCTTGAATGGTGATCCTCCTGCCTCAGCCTCCCAAGTATTGGGATTGTAGACATGCACCACCATGCCTGCCTTCAAATATTGTTAACTGTATTTTTCAGGGCTCTATTTTCATGCTTTGCACAGGGATAGACATTGATGGATATTGAATTCAGGGCCTTCCCACTAAGCTGCATCCCCAGCCCATTTTTTATTTTTCATTTGGAGACAGAGTCTTGCTAAGTCACTAAATTGCCCACTTTGGGTTCAAACTTGCAATCTTCCTGCCTCAGCCTCCCGAATGCTGATGTTACAGGTGAATTCTGCCACTCCTGGCCTCACATATATTTTAGAAATTTTTAAGGGATTTAGTTCAGTGGTTCCACCGCCTGCCTTGCAAATGCAAGGTCCCGAGTTCGATCCCTGGTACCAAAAAAAAAAGTATCAAGAAATTCTTCCGTCCTTCAGAATTACTCTGATTGGTCGTGTTGATGAAATCTCTTGATTATCCACATTTTGTAGAAAGAGACGCAGTGAATTAAGTAACAGCAAGCAATGGAAGTAGAAGCAGAACCCTGGGAAATTTTTGACCCAATTACCTCTTTGGCTTAACTAGTGCCGAGCAAGATGACTTTTAACACTTCCTAGAATCCCCTGGCCTTTATAACTTCCTCATTTTCACCCTGAAGGGTCTATTCTCATACTTACCAGGCTGACTGAGCTTCTCTGTTACACTTTTCTGATCCTTCCCTGACCCTTCCCTGTGCGGTGCCTGGGCCAGAAGCATAGGGGTGTAGGGAAGAGGTCTGGGGGCCAGACTGGGGCCCCGCGAGTCAGGCTACAGGCAGGGGCAGTATGCAGGCTTGCTTCCACCCCACGGTGGTTGGTCCCTGAATGTCCCGTCTCGCTGAGGACTTTCTAGGGCTCAGCGTTCACAGCCTGACTCAAACTGTGCCTTTACTTTTCAGGAGCTCTGTGAGTCTTGGGAAACTCTGAGACAGAGGCAGTTACAGAATGTGCCTTGAGGCCGCAGTGGACGGCTCTCTTTGACAGCTCAGAGTTAGTTCTTCCTTCTGAGTGTTCTGACCTCGTGGTGCTTCCTCTCAGTTGCGTGGGAAAGTCTAAAAGTCAAAAGCCAAAACTGCACAACCACAACAGATCAGTGTTTTTATTTGAAAATTCTGGATTTCTTTTTTTTTTTTTGAGACAGGGTCTCACTGTGCTCTTCAAGCTGGCCTTCTTCTCACTGTGTAGCGCAGGTTGTTCTTGAGCTCACAGTGACCCTCCTGCCTGAGCCTCCCAAGTGCTAGGATTGTAGCCGTGCACCTCCATGCCTGGTTGAAAATTCTGGAATGTTACTTTAAATCATTCATAGAAATAAATGTGCATTCATTGATTATGGTCTGTAAGCAAGCAGGTCACATCAGACTCAGTGAAAGTATCATCCTGTGCATCAGACATGGAGCTGCTTCCTCTTTGTGTTCCATTCCCTCTGTGATTCTTTTGGAGACCCCCTCATGGAGTCCTGTGTTTTTACTGGTGACAATTGTTCTTTTGTTTTATTTTGTGTTAAAGTACATGGCTGGGAATAATATCAAATAAATATGTATTAAAATAAGTAAATTATTATTACTTTGTAACAATTGATAATATTTACTAAATCCCCAAATTTTGCTCAGAAGGCTGCTCTCTTTACTAATCCTGCTAACTTCATGTAAAAGATTTCTTTGTCTTTACTGCAGGGATTTTATGGAGAAAGATTTGGAGAGGATGTGGTTGAAGTGATCAAAGACTCTAATCCCGTGGACAAGTGTAAATTAGATCCTAACAAGGTAGGGTTGATGGGACGGTGACACACAGGCACAGCTTTGAGACGTCTGCAGTTTTGCTTGAGAAATCCTGAATGATGGCTGAACAGTGAGGAAGTGAAGGACTCTCTCCTTTCCCTCCAGGCATACATTCAGATTACCTACGTGGAGCCGTACTTTGACACGTACGAAATGAAGGACCGAATCACGTATTTTGACAAAAATTATAATCTTCGCCGTTTCATGTACTGTACGCCCTTCACTTTAGATGGCCGTGCCCACGGTGAACTTCATGAGCAGTTTAAGAGGAAGACCATTCTGACCACCTCTCATGCCTTTCCTTACATTAAAACGAGGGTCAATGTCACCCACAAAGAAGAGGTGAGTCTGTAAATAGGGGAGTCGTCGTCAGCTGGGTAAATACAAGCAGGCCATGCGGCTGCAGCATGGGTGCTGCAGAAATGTGTACCATCCCTCACACGGGGCCATCTAGAACTTTACCTATTTGGAGTCATTTCTGGTGTCTTTTTATTCTTCCAGTTCATCCTTAATTTATGCTTTTAAGGTCTGTTTTCTTTTCTGGCTTGTACAAACTTAGGGATCCAGTTTGGAATTTCATTGTTACATAAAAGCTCATAATTGTTCCCCATTCTTTCTCATTTTCATCGATGATATAAAGCCCTTTTATACAGCAGTTTTCAGGCAACCCACTGGCCTGAGAGCTGCTGTTTTACTCAGGTCATTTTGACGCCCACTGAAGTTGCTATAGAAGACATGCAGAAAAAGACCCAGGAGCTGGCGTTTGCGACACATCAGGATCCGGCAGACCCTAAAATGCTTCAGATGGTTCTCCAGGGATCTGTAGGGACAACGGTGAATCAGGTGAGTGCCCTTTGCTAGCACTGTGTGGCTTAGGTATAAATAGGACTTGTGATAACTTCATTACTGAATCTTACCAAAAAAATTGCAAGTATGTAGTAGCTACAGTGAGAAGGGCCTGTGCTAAAGAATACATGAAGGCAAGTGAAGAGCAGAAGTTGTTCAGTAAAATCTCAATTGTTAAGATTTTTATTCCTGCCTTCTCTCTACTGTATTTTCTGTCTTTCTGTTTTTATACATTCTATTAAAAAGGAATTAGGACTGGGGATTTAGCTCAGTGGTTCCACCACTGCCTGCCTTGCAGGTGCAAGGTCCCGAGTTCGATCCCCAGTACCAAAAAAAGGAATTAAATCACTTGAAGTAACCTTTCTGTGAAACGGTATACTAAAAAATGGAGGGTTGTGTATGGACAGATAAACCTCTACCATCTTAGATTCCCACTGATATCATCTCCAATGTTTTTCACAAGTTCAGAGGATTAAATAAGTGATGTGGAATAGTTTTGATAATTGTAATAGTAACAGTATGTAGGAGATACTGTTCTGTCATGTGAACATTAGAAGCTGTCTCCGTTATGTCCTCCAGCTTACAGTGTCAGGGAGGTATGTAGGCGTGACAAGGGAGCTCTTTCAGCAAAGCAAGGTCAGGTGATCTGCGGGCTTGGCTCAGAGCTGTGGGATCTGGACAGTTTGTACCTCAAGGGTAAATTACATAAAGCACAAGGTTATGTGTGAATGGACATGGTAGGTCGGTCGGTCGGTAGGCAGGTTGTGAGTCCTTGAGCACCTACTCAGCTTCTTTGAATAATGAGCTAATAAGTTGTCTAATTGCAGCTGGCAAACATATAAACGTTGAAATTAGGAAACCGGAAGCGGTCTGTCTCTGAAGAGCTTTAGTGCTGGCATAGACACATGTGCGGTATGGGTAATGCAGCCAGCACAGTCCTGAAGTTGTGGGCACCTCTGTCTGCGTGATCTTAGAGAAGACAAAAACACACTTTCAGTATTATTTTCTTATTTTGTAGGGGCCTTTGGAAGTTGCCCAGGTTTTCCTGTCTGACATACCCAGTGACCCCAAGCTTTTCAGACACCATAATAAACTGCGACTCTGCTTCAAAGATTTCACTAAAAGGTATGCAAGGCTCCTGCACATTGAGAGTGTCCGGTCCCAGAGTGAAGCGCAGGCCTGAGGGGCTGTTGGAAAGGGAACATTCAGAGAAGCAGAGTGGGAAACGCTCTGCTTAGAAGTCACTGTTCTTTAACTGTGTACCTACTCCCATACTCTGTAATGCCGTACTTTTAATTTGTATTTATTCACTCATTCATTTATTTTTGCAGTACTTGGGATTGAACCCAGGACTGTAAAACTGAGCTACATCCCCAGACCTTTTTTATTTTTATTTCAAGACAGGTTTTCACTGAGTTGCTAAATTGCCCATGCTAGGCTCAGATTTGTCATCCTAGGGTTCAATCCTGGTACTGCAAAATAAATAATAGTCATCAACTGGATGCTTGATTCCTGCTTTACTGACTCTGTAATGACATAAAAGGAAGTGATTAATTCAACTTGGCAAGATTTCACACATTTGATAAGGACCTAGGAGGCTGAAACCATGAGGATTCTAAGTCAAAAAGCCTGGGAGAGGAGATGGTGGTGAGATTAAATAATCATCTGTGTCCTCAGTGACTGCTTGTCACAGGTTAAGTACCATCACAACTACCGTCAGAGCCCAGCTTGACTTCTTCCTATAGTTTCTCTTACCAAATTATGAATTATGGGTTTCTCTTATCAAATCATTGGATTGAATGAGTTTATTAATGGCAGAGATAACTTTACTTTAGTTTTGTTATCTGAAGAATATGGTTAATGCTAACTTGTTTAACCTGAAATGGTATTTCCTTTGTTCTCACTGCATTAGTTATCACAAATTGCTGTGAGTTTCTCCTACTTAAACATAGTAAACATCTAAAAAAAAACCTTTGAAAAGCTTTTTCAGATGTCTGAGATTTTATAATATAATTTTTGTACTTAATTTTTTAACTAAGACATAAAAAGATACAAATGATACATATTCCTGGGGTACTGTGCAGTTTTGATACATGTATACATTGTATATGTTCAAGAACTATCCTCTCAAACATTCGTCATTTCTTTATGGTGAAAACATTCAAATCCTTTCTTCCAGCTTTTTGAAATACAGATGTTCCTTGTTTAATGACCTACCTGTTTGACATCTGTCTGGACTTACGACCCATTTCTTTCTTTGTGCAGTTCTGCACATCTTGTTTATAGAGCCTCTGTCTTTTTTTTGTGCAGTGCACCTCACTTATACAGTACAGTAATTTTTGCTGCCTGTACAGTACTGTAGATTTATGTTTGGTTACCCATTACAGTGCTGCGTGTAAGAGATGTGCACATAAAGCAAAGTCATCAAGTTGGAATTTCCTTTGGCCATTTCTTTGTTCTAAATATTGTAATGTGCATCCTACATGCAATTCCTCACTTTAGCGACCAGTTCATATAACAACCTAGTCGCAGGCCGGCAAGTTGCTCTTTAACCAAGGAGCGCCTGTACACAGTCCATTATGGCAGTCACCCTGAAGAGACTCCGCATGCGCCAGGCCTCTGGGGACCACTGTTCTGTTCTGAGACTCCACATACAAGTGTGGCCATGTGACGCATGTCACTCTGCCTGTCCTCTTCACTGAACACCATCTCCAGTTCCACCTGTGTTGTCGCAGTGGCCGGACTCTGGGCCATGTTTGTTCATCCTTTCCATCCTTTCCGTGGTCCATCCTTGGCCATTAAGAGTGAGCAGTGCTGTAGCAAACACGGCAGTGCAGCGGTCCCTCCCGTAGACTGACTTCCTTTGCCTTGCACGTACACCCAGGAGTGGGATTACTGGATCAGGAGCAGCTTTCCGTCGTGGCTGTACTAGTTTACTTTCTGCCAGGATCTCCAGCACTTGTTATCTTTTGTCCTTTTAGAGCACCCATCTTGAATGGAGTGAGGTGCCAACTCGCTCTGGTTTTGATTTGCACTTCCCTGATGATAGTGATGTTGCCCATTTTTTCATGTACTTATTGGCCATTTGTATGTCTTTTTTTCAGATAAATACCTATTAGGTCTGTTGTCCTTTTTTTTTTTTTTTTTTGGTACCAAGGATCGAACTTGGCTCTTTACGCTCTTGAGCCAGGCGGCGTAACCACTGAGCTAAATCCTCGGCCTTTTTTTTTGTACTGGGGATCGGTCCTTGCGTTTACAAGGCAGGCGGCAGAACCATTGAGCTAAATCCCCAGCCCTGTTGTCCATTTTTAAGTAAGAGGTTTTCAGGTATTGAATTGTTTTTAGCTCTTTGCCTACTCTGGTTTTTTATTCCATGTCACATGTGTAGTTTGTAAACATTTTCTCTCCTTCAGTCAGTTGCCTCTTCACTGTGTTGATTGTTCCCTTTACAGTGCAGAAGCTAGGTGGCCTCATAGTATTGGTTTTAGGAAATGAAACATAGCTCCTAATATATGGAACAGATGACTTCTGGTAGTAAAAGAAACCTGTTTCCCACTTACAGAATTGATTGATTTCCAGGGTTAATTTTTATCACTTGGGAGGTTTAATGCCACAAAATAAACCCTGCTGTCTTTGTGAGCCAGGTGATGACCATGGCACAGTTCGGAATTCATTAGCTCATAGACCTGCATTGATGGGTGCCCTTCGATCTTGGTATTGTTTGGGGACATTTTATCATAACTACAATTCTAAACAGATGTCTTTTTGCATATATTTACTTTACTATCATGAATTCCTGTAGTCACTGGGTCTCCTTGAGTGTTATTGCCTGTACAGAACATTTTTTTCTCCTAAGTTCCAAAAAAAGCAGAAAGTAAAGTTAACCCAAAAAACCACTATATAATATAAACCTTACAAAGAAATTTATAGCTATTACTACATTGTTTTCATGATTACCATTCATTTTTGTGCCAATATGCATATATATTTTATCATAGTTGTCATTACATACATGTAAAGCTTAAATTCTTATTGTTCAATTAAAGTACTATTATTGTAATGGTTATATTTTTTCAAATTACTTTAATCTTCTGTATTCCTGCTTTTTAAGTTGAAATTGAATTTGTGTGTGGAGTAGTTTGTACCACAGTTGATCGTTTTTCTTTTTTCTTTCTTTTCTTTTGGTACTGGGGATTGAACTTGGGACCTTGTGCTTGTGAGGCAAGACCTTTTTGTTGTTGTTGTTGAATTAAAATTCCCACTATGAAATTACCAGGCCAAGTAGAGAGACGTCTTTATCGCTCTTCACCTGTGAGCACAGTGCAGAAGGCTTCTCAGTTAGCACTATCAGGGGGTACACTGGCTTTCATGCCTTATAGGTAAGCAGGGTATCTTGTGTAAATTTTATGTGATAGTTCAGTTTGCTTTTATTACTAAAAACGGTACTTTTCCATGTGTTTATTTTTTTATGCTTTTGAGTTTGTCTTTAAAAGCTTGTTTTCATCAAATCTTGTATAGATTGAAAAAGTGCTATTTCTAACATTTGCTATTAAAGAATAGGAAGGAAAAGGTCTTGTACCTTCCATTCAGTTTCAGAAGCTCCAATATTATCTCCCTCCCTTCCTTCAGAGGTAACTGGCACACTGAATTTCTTAGCATTTGTTTTGTTGCCTCTTATATTTCTATCAGAAACTATTGTATCCAAAACAGCAGTGTAGTTTTACATTATTTTAGTTACAAAGGGAAAACATTGGACTACCTGTTTCTGGATGTTTATGCACAGGAGATTCTCCAGGTTTATACCTGACAGTAGTACTGCTGGCTCATAGGTTCATCTTCAACCAGCTGATGCCATACTTTTTCCAGAGTATGTAAGCCAAATTTTCCAGTAGTGTTTGAGTTTCTGGTAATGTTATTGTATATCTTCACCTATATTTGATATGATCTAACACTTTTACCGTTTACCAGTCTAGTAGGTGTATAATGGTGTGTGATTATGGACTAAATTCACATCTGCTTAGTTACCACTTGCCTTGGTAGAACTGTTTCCTCTTACTTAGGGAGTTTTGAAATCACGTGTTTGGGTGAGCTAGAGTTTATTTGTTTGGTGGTGGTACTGGGAATTGAGCCTGGGCCTTCACACTGAGCTATACGCCCCCCCCCCCCATTGTTTTTCAAAGTTACCCAGGCTGGGCTCAAACTCCGTGACCCTCCTGTCTCATACACAGTTTCGTTTCCTTTCGTTTTGTTTTGTTTTGTTCTCTCATCATCCTCATTAGGTTTTTGTATCTCAGCCTTGCAAAATGAGTTGAGAACTCCTCTGCAAAGGTCCTTTTTCTCCAACATGAGGGGTTAGTTTCTATTGTACTCTGCAGCATTTGTTAAGTTAGCCTTTTCTCTAGAATGCTTAGTAGAATTTGCATGCTAATATGTTCTTTGTGGGTAGATTTTGGACATAACTGACTCAACTTGTTTGATGGTTTTAGGATTACTTGCATTTTTCCTTATTCTCTTTTGCTATATTTATCTAGAAAAACATGATTTTAGTTTCTTTTACATTAAATTGTATATAATATCTTCTACAACTTTTTAAACCTTTGCTGTATTTCACATTTTAAATATCCAGTAGGGCATAATTTGACCTTCTCTTACTTAATATTGATAAAAATTTGTATTTTTAAAGTTTTTATTAAATAACTAATTTTCCATTTTTATATATATATTTTTAAGAGATGAAGTCTTGCTGTGGTTCCCCAGCCTGGCACTGAACTTTTGGGCTCAAGCAGTCCTGCCTCAGCTCTCAAGTATCTGGGACTACAGACATGCATTCCACTTCGTGATACTGTATCATACTTTTAGATTTTATTTCCTTCCGTACACTTTGAGTTTAGTCTGTTCTTTCTAAAGTGCTTGCTCTTCAGTTTTAGCCTTCTTTTCTAATACAAGCCTTTAGGGCTTTTCCTAGGCATCACTTTAGCTGCATCCCACAAATACGGGTATGTGGTTTTTAAAAAAAATAGCCTTTCTTCCTTCATCTGTTGAGATCCAGATATTTTTCTTAATTACTTCAATAAGCTGGACAAAGGCTTACCATCCAGATCTGTTCATTTAGGAAAACGTGTTTGAGCAGAGGCGCCAGTGGTGCCGGCGGTGGGTGTGAGTGCTTCCCTTGATGAGCTCCAGTCTGGCAGTGATATCAAAAGGGGCTTCAGAATGAACAATTGAAATACGTCATTTTCAATTTAGAGAAAACTGAAAGTGTTTATTAGATTTTAAAGGAACTCGGTCATCTGTTCATTCCCTGTCTTAAATCTAAAATAAAAGGCTTATTTAACCTTCAGCTGAAAGCCTGACTGTCCTTCAAGCATGCGTGTAAGCATGCGTGCGAGTGTGTGTGTGTGTGTTTGTGTGTGTGTGTGGCACCAAGCCCAGCAGCTCTGCTGGGAGAAGTTTCTTGGTAACATGTTCCTGGCCCCCAGGTGTGAGGATGCCTTAAGAAAGAATAAGAGCTTAATCGGGCCTGACCAGAAGGAGTATCAGAGGGAGCTGGAGAGGAACTACCATCGCCTTAAGGAGGCTCTGCAGCCACTGATAAACAGGAAGATCCCTCAGCTGTACAAGGCAGTGTTGCCTGTCACCTGCCACAGGTACGCCTATTTTTTCTCTTAATGCAGAGGTCTTTAGAAAAATAAAACTGGATTGAACTGTTTTAATAGTGGATTAGAGTAACTTTTATTATATGGCTTCATGTATTTTTCCCCTGGAACCAAACAGGTGAAGCTAGTGTAAGTCTTTTGCCTGCTATACATCTATCAGCCGGGGAGATAGAAGTCAGTTCTTCTTTTAGTCAGAGTCGCAACACACATATGACCTGGAGTAGCACTTTATGTCTGGCCTAAAACTATTCCTTTTAAAGTCCCAGCGTAGGCAGATGTCAGGGCACACATCTGTAATCCCACCTTTTGAGAGGCTGAGGTGGGCAAATTGTGAGTTTAAGGGCAGCCTGAGCTACATAGTGAGATCCTTTATCAAAAGAAAAAAATCATACTTTCTGGTACTTTTGTGGGAAAATTCACTAACATGTATCATTTCCTTAGCTGTGACTGTAAATAGTACACATAGTTTTCTTCATTTTTTAAGTGTTGGCAAAATAGAAATGGAAACAACTTGGAGTTTTCTACAACTGAATCCTAGTTCTACTTGAGCAGGTAATTTAGTCTGCTTTTTAGATTTTTCATCTGTCTAATGAAATGACTGCTTGTGTTGAAAAGGTTGTTAGGACTAAATGGCATTACAGATAGAGTTCTAGGGCAGTGGCCAGTGTTGGGCTTTTTAGTATCTGACTTCTGGGAAGGACATAATCTGCTAAAAATAAACTGCATTTTCTGCATTTCAAAATCAGATGTCCATACAACTGTTACATTACTGTGGCACTGCTGTCTTAACACCATTTTCTTGGGACTAACAGTAAGAGTAACGTGTGTTTGGAAGGCTGTTGGAGCTGTTTATATAAAAACAGAATGTAGGGCCGGGGATTTAGCTCAGTGGTTCTGCCGCCTGCCTCGCAAGCACAAGGTCCCGAGTTCAATCCCTGGTACCAAAAAAAAAAAACAACCCAGAATGTAGCTGCAGGGTATTCTACACTGCATAAGAAAGTTAAAGTAGTTGTTTCATCACCCGGGAATTAGTCCCTGTGCTTCGGTGGTCCCATGTGCTCCTACTTTGAGACCTGTGGAAAAATTTACTTACACATCCATTCAGAAGTGTCTCCCTGTGCCTGCTGTGCTGTGGCCCCGCGGGGAGGGGCGAGCCACCTGCATCTCTTCCCTGGCCTGCAGGGCAGGCGCACCCAGGGCTATTTCAGAGCCTGGTGCAGCTGACCTGAGGCCCCGCAGAAGGAGCTGTCCTCGTAGAATCCCCAGGGGAGGTCACTCTCGTCCCTCACTCTTGCCATCCCACCAGGCAGCCGTCGGGTCCCTGTCATCCTCAGGTTGCCCAGGCCGGTCTCTGCCTGCTGCTCTGACTGGTGTCCGTGGAACCCCTGTCCTTCCTGTCTGAGACGCTCCCTTACCCAGACCCTCGGTTCTGCGGCTGTCTGCGATCACGTCATGGCCAGTCCTCTGAGCTTCCGTTGTTTTGCGGTTGTTTTTTGCAGTATCGGGGACTGAGCCCAGGCCCTCAAGCATGCTAGGGAAGCACTCTACCATTGAGCTACATCCCAGACCGCTACTGATCTATTTATTTAGCCATATTGGGGGCTGAACCTAGAGCCTTTGCCCTGAGCTACATCAGCAGTCCTTTTTTGTTGTCATTAAGTTTATTGGTGCGTTTCAGGGATACAGTACAGTGACATTCGTCATTGGGAACTTGCACCTGTACACATACATCTGGGTTCTTATTTTTTCCCCTGCCCCTGCCCTCTTTTCAACCCCTCCACCCTCCCTATTTACAGAGACTTCTTTCTGCTTTTTCCCTTATCTCATATTTATTCCTTTCCCTTCCGTCCTTTCCCCTGCCCCTCCCACTTCGCCAGTCCTTTTTTGAGACAGGGTCTTGCTGAGTCACTAAATTGCTGTGTTGCCCAAGCTGGCCTTGAACTTGCAAATCCTGCCTCAGCCTCTGCAATCTGGGATTCCAGGTGTGCACTCGCTCCCATGCCCAACTTAAGCTTCAGTTCATATTTGCAGATAGATTTTGGGAATTTACAAAAACCCTTTTCTTGTTGAACAGTATATAGCTTTCAAAACTGCAGTTTTCACTGGAACCCTCAAAAAACTGTGATTCAAAGTGGAGTGTGATCTCTTTGTGCCTACCCTTTCCTGTCCTGGGGATATTAAGGCTCATGTCTTAAGCTTAATGGCAGGAAGGACAAGCCAAAGAAACCAACCCAAGAGCAAAGGAAAATACCTTAAAAGGTATTTGAAGAATATCAGGGCCAGGGATTTAGCTCAGTGGTTCTGCCGCCTGCCCCGGTACCAAAAAAAAAGAATATCAACCCTCCCAGTCTTAAGAATTTAGAAAATAAAAATTTCTTGAAATTATAAAACCTGGAATGTCATTAGTAGTAGGTCTCGTAGGTCTGAAGACAGTGGTTCTGCATGTGCTCTGTGACCCACAGAGAGGAGTCCCCAAGACGCTTCCGGGAGTTTCCTGGTCAAAACTTATTTCATATTAAAGCAAGTATGATTTGGCTTTTTCCATGTGCGATGTGATACAGGAAAGACTGAGTGTAGAGGCAGACAGGAGAATCTGCATCTCTGTCAGTCCAGTCAGTATACATGAGTGTCGCTAAGATTCCTTCGAGTTATTATTAATATAGTAACACAACTCATTAGTTATTTGGTAAAATTACGTCTTTCCATTTAATTTCAAATATGGTAAATATCGATACATATATTTACATAAGCAAGTTTCCTGGGCTCTTCAATAATTTCTAAGAATGTAAAAAAAATCTGAGACAGGGCCGGGGATTTAGCTCAGTGGTTCTGTGGCCTGCCTTGAAAGCACAAAGTCCTGAGTTCAATCCCCAGTACCAAAAAAACAAAAACAAAAAAGAATCTGAGACAAAGTTTTGGAAACCACTGGTTTAAGACTCAAAATTTAGTATTCTAAAGAAACACCTGACTTTTGCCACTTAGTGATCCCAAAGTTTCTCCCCAAATCTCTCCTGTTATCATAGTCCTTGTCTTATTTATCATAGATATAGCACCTTTTAGACAAATGCATAAGCAATGGATAGTCTTGGCCAAGTGGTTACTGTATTTCTGATCTATAATCTGTAAACCAGGACATATAAGGCAGAATATGTAGAATGAGCATCTGACTTCAAAGATAATAAAAATTCATGGCAAAACATTTGCGATAACTCTGGAAGAAAAAAGCATGTAAAACATCGTAAAGGTATACACAGAAATTTTTTTTTGCAAAGTGTGGTACTCTTCTTGTTTTCTTCTAACTTTATCTTCTAATTTTTTTCTCCAGAGATTCCTTCAGTCGAATAAGCCTTCGCAAAATGGACCTCTAAAATTAAATGCGCTTGTTCTGTTCATTTGAAAAGAGCCATGTATTCAACACTGAATGTGAGAAGTTAAGATCTATTGAAAAACAGAACTTGGGATGTTACTCTGAAGTTACAGCATTGGTTCACTCGTTGAAGAATGCCAAAAAGACATCAAATGTAGAGTTTTAGTTTGAGGATCATGGCGATGGTTTCTAACATTCTGGAACATACTGTTATCTTTTTTAAAAAGACATTTTAATGATTCAAAGGTACACTATACATTTACCATTATTTATACCATAGCTAATGTTAAATTTATTTACTTTTAAGTCCATATTTTTTAATTTATATTACCATTTATAGATTCATTTTGGAACCATTTTAAATGTAGTATTGCTAATTTTCAAGGTACTATTAAACATGTGAATGTTTACACTAACTTCAGTGAGTGGGACTTTTACATTTTTTCTTTATTGAAAGAGGCAGAGAGTAAGTTGAGTTGTTCTAGAACTAGTTCCAAGAGAGCTGAGCAAGTGGTACAGGCCTAAAATCCCGGCTGTTTGGGAGGCTAAGGAAAGAGACCAGCCTGAACAATTTAGCCAAGACCTGTATCAAAATAAAAACATTTTAAAAGGCTGGCAGTGTAGTTCAGGGGTAGAGTGCCCCAGGGTTTCGTTCCCAGTACCACCAAAATAACTCCAAAATTAGCAAAATGAAAATCAAAATTGAGAGTCACTTTGTAGGCCCAAAGAACCCAAATGGAATAAATGAATTAATGAGTATACACAGATACTGCTGTTTTGTGAAATCTTATTTTTCATTGAGATAACCCCCCCCCAAAATAAAACTTTTATCTGTAAATGATCAAGAACGGTTAGCTAGCTTGACCTTTATAGCTTTGTCTTGTTAGGAGTTTCGAGTTAAATAGCCAGTCATGAGTTTTTTTGGTATTGTTTTGTTCTGGTGGTACTGGTGATTAAATCTAGGGAGCGCTGGCTAGATCCTCAGGCCTTAGTTTTCAGTTTGAGACATGGTCCAGGTTGCCTAGGCTGGTCTCAAACTTAGAATTCTTCCTTAGCGTCCTGAGTGGCTGGGATTACAAATGTGCACTCCATACCCAGTACCAGTCATTTAAACCAAAAAATTAGAAATCTGCCTTAAGACTCTTTTATATCACCATAAAGACAGAGCAAGAGTTTATTCTTTTTAATCTACTAGTTAAATGAGAAGTCACACGGCACATGTAAGAAGTAAAATAGCTGTTACTCAATCAACTAATTTATTTAAAACTGTAACTTCATGTAAATAGATAATACAGAAAATTTAAAATACAGTTGCTTGGTAGACAGTGCACTTTGATTTCTGCAAGTGTCCAGAACAATGTTTTTGTGCAGTGTTGTAGCTTACAGAACGGTACTGCTGCTAACGCTTTTACCTACTGAGGAGTTACATAAGTCACTTAAAGACTGACCAGATTTAATCCCCTGCCGTCGCTTGTGCTTGTCCAAGTCTCCTTAACTTGGTGATGGCCACTTTCCCCACTGAGCTCACTGCAAGAACAGGCAGTTACTATCTCAACTCCCTCTTAGCTACAGCAACACAAAAGACCAAGTCACTGAAAGATGAGCCTCCATCGGACCAAAAGGGTTAGGTGAAGAGTCAGAAGGAATAACCTCAAAAGTGGATTTGAAGCTGGGTACACAGCTCATTGGTAGAGCACTCGCCTAGCATGCCAGGGCAGGGCCAAGTCCAGCTCCCCCAAATTCAGGGGAGCGAGGTAACTAAGAAAAGGCCAGGAGTTAAGAATAGAGACTCACACGGAAGTGACTACTATCAAAAGAGGAAGGAGGGCAGACATAAAGGATAAAGTAACCCCTAACCCTGTACCACTTCTCAGGTTTCATTTAGCAAATTAGGCCATTTTGCACAAATTTCAGTGACAATATAAAGGACTTTACAATTTAATTATGATTTAGTTATCATGCAGTACTAATTTTCTGAGTCAGGAGTTTCTTATTCTTAACTGGTATAACATGGAATATATCACAACTCCTTACATATCTGTTTTTAGGAATCGGTACTAGTTCTTAACATTGACTGTCTTTTGCTGGGCATGGTGATACAGACCTATAATCTGACCACTCCAGGCTGAGGCAGAAGCGTGAGCTTGAGGACAGCTTGGGCTACAAAGCAAGTTCAGGGCCAACTTGAACTACAGAGCAACACCCTGCCTCAAAAAGACAAACTAAAAACAAATAAAAATTGGCCCTTTTTAGTTAGTAGAACCCCAAGCTCTGTCCTACACCTGTTCCATCATATTTCAGGTAGTGCACCAGGGCTTTTTTTTTTTTTGGTACCAGAGATTGAACTCAGGACCTTGCGCTGGTGAGGCAGGCAGTAGAACCAGAGCTAAATCCCCAGTGCTCAAGGGCTGTTTTTAAAGCTCCATGATTCTGACTGTAGAAAGGGGAGAGTCATTCTTCTAGTGTAACTTTTTGGTTGACCAGGAAGTCTGATTTGTTGAAATGGGATGTATGTGTTACTCTTAACAGCACTTCTAAATTCTTTAGTTATAAGAAAATCTTAGTACCAGTAATGTCCTTAAATCATAATTGGACACTAATTTAGTATAATTAAAATTAAAGCATAAGTTTTCTGTGTGCCCAAAGCACTGTTTTAAATTCTTGTTTTGAATGTCATTAAATGTCTACTTTAAAGGACACTAGGATGTGACAATTTTATTATAAATCTCCTAAGTATGACAACTTGGATGGTCTAACGGCAATTTCTTTGAGAAATTCTTCACCTCCACTGTCAGAAAGAGTATAAGGTAATTGTGCATGTTTATTCTCCTCCCTCCCACCCTCATTCAACTGTACTTAATGATAAAAACACGCAAGTAAAAATATTTGAGCATTTGTATACAATTTAAGTTTTATTGACCTCCAGTTTTTTAAAAAGTTAAATTCAAGGTCATACCTCTCTTAAGTTTGATGTATTATACACAGATCGTGCAGAATGAGTATGAAGAGATACAAATCAGTCCATGCCCAAAAAGATGTACTAGAATACAGAATCATCTCCATAAATATATATAAAATTCTTGTGAAGATAAAGGGGACTGTCTGGTTTTTCTGGGGCACTTTTCAAAGTGATTCAAGGCACGAAAAGCACACCCCAAAGTGAATACACGCATTCTAGGTTTTGTGCCTCTGCTATAGCCCATCAGAGATCAGGCTTCACAACTGATAAAACTAAATGTACTGAATGAGACTGCTTCTTAGGCAGGAAAGCACAGACCTATAAACGTAGATAATTTCTCCAAACATGGAGAATACAAATACAAGCACTTTATTTTAAAAAGCAAACACAAAAGATTGGCGTAAATCCAAAAGGTTTAAATGCTTCCATTTAGAATAATTCAGTTTAGAATCTATACAAGTTTGTTCCCAAGAACTAACACATCACTTGTCTCTATGAAGGAAAATGAATTCTACAAATTAACATGGTTTTTCGGTACTTCAAATCTCACTATTATATAAAAACCTAGAGACCCATAATATCCAATAGCTTTAAAAGATAAGCTAAAAGACTGCTGTAATAAACATTACCAATGATGGCCAGGCCTGTTTAATATATACATAGGGAAAATACACCCACTCTATAATTTCTTATAAAACAACAAGTAAGGAGTAGATGTAGACGATGTAGAAGGGGAAAGAGAATTCAGAAAGTCCTTCTCTTCGGTAACTTTCACTTCAGAATCATCAAAAAGCAGCCACTTCCCCTCATACTCCTTTAAACTTTGCACTACACAGGAAATTTTGTTCTCAAATCCACTCCTGTAAATGCCTGTTTGGTCGCTGGATTCTTGGTTCCTGTCCACTTCATGGGTCCCATTAGAACTGTTAGTCTCAGAACTTCTACTTTCAGCAAATGCTGTACTGGCAGCCCTATCAGGATTAGACGCTTTGTTGTAGAGCTCATAATCTGCTTTGCTCTTTTGTCCTCCAAGAAGTCCAATAGCTTCTACATTTTTTTTGTTCAAAACTTTACTTGGCTGTGTATTTCCACCAACTCTCATGGACACTTCTTCATCGTCATAATTTTCAGCTGCACCCCTTGCTTCCTCCTCATTCAGTGGCTCTGGCTTGCTTACTTCACACATCTGGTCAACCACAAAATTCTCCTTGTCCAGTTCTAAGCTGTTGAGGTCGGTGACTTTAACCGAAGCAGTGTAATGCCCACTGCTAATTGTAATGCCACTGTGCATTACAACTGCAAATAATCCATAGCTGTCATTGGTTGGCCTTGTGCTCCATTCTTCTAGCGACAACTTAAGAGGTGTCAGTAAGGGAGTGTTGATCTTGGAAAGTCCACCACCATAACAATCAAACCTTTGGAAGGAAAGAAAATAAAAGGTTTCCTATAATTTTAAGTTCACAATTTTATACCCATGTGAAACCAAGTAAGAGTCTGAATAAACCCTTGTGTTCATATGAATAAAGACTTCAATTCGGAATAATTTAATATATATACAAACACGGAAATTCAGCTGTTTCTACGTGGGGGTATACAATCTTTTCTCATTTATTTTTCTAAATGACCTTTGTGGGGGCGGGGGTTGCCGGGGATTGAACTCAGGACCTTGTGCTTGTGCGGCAGGCGGCAGAACCACTGAGCTAAATCCCCGGCACTCCAAATGAACTTTTGAAACCAAAACCCTTCACATTTTAGTCAAATTTAAAACTAAATAAAATATACTTAGCAAAGAAAAAGTCCACTGACTATAGAAAAGACTATGTTGTCTTATGGCATAACAATGTATGTGAGAGCTACTGGCAAGCTCTTGAGGCAATTTCAAACAAGTCAGCATGGTAGGAGTGAAATCTACAGTGATATGCACATGTCAGAAAAAGTTAGATACCCAAAATGTAATTAGCATTTTTATACTCCTAACAGCTCTCAGACATTTACATTCAATGGGATAATTTCTCACATTTTTCAAATACTAGTTTTGATTTCCCAGCTTACCTTAAAAACCTAAGTACAATTTTGCCTTTCTATTCTTCAAAAAAAAGTCAGTACACTCAATTTCTTCCCTGCTTTAATCCGTTCTACTAAAGTTTAATTCTGCTACTAGCATCTATAAAATGAATATGCAAGATATATTAAGAAAACATACTTTATAGAATGAGTTCACACCGAAAGGATTTAAACTGATGCATTTTAATAAGGGAACAAAACTTTATCTAAGACAATCTTTACAAATTCATTTTGATCAATATTTAGTTACACTCCTACTATTACAGTATTTTAACCAAATTTCTCTTCTACAACACTTATTCTTTTATTTACAATACTCACTCCAAGCCACTAGCAGCAAAGCACTTCAAATGAATGGTTATAACTTCAGGCATTTTGTCAAACAGAAGACTTCGTTCAGCTTCAGTGTAATGATGACAATTTTCACAGAAATATTTATCTTCTCCTACAATCCTCTCCACCGAAGCAAACTGTGAAATTGCCCACCTCAAGGTCTTCATTTCTGTTTTTGGCTCTGGAGAAACTAAAGATAGTCTTTTCACTCACAAATACATCTCTTAGGAATTAAAAAACTGAATTACAAAGTTTCATGTGCAAAGTTCACATTCAGTTTCAACTGACTAACCCATTCGTCCCAGATAACTAAAACGATTTCTTTTACTTTGAGAAGCTCATCCTTAACACAATACATAGTCTTTAAATACTTATAATTGGTCAGCCAAAAAATACATAATAAGGACAGCAAAATCAAGATAAGCTTAGTCTCAGCCTAGTGTAAAACGCAATTCTACAGTGTCTGATAGATGAACCAGCCTCCCGGTTTTTTCCCATGATATCCATGCTTTCATGGTCTGCAATGGACACAACAGTGGTTCAAATACTATATTAAAAATAACTTCTCGGGCCAGGGATCTAGCTCAGTGGTTCCACTGCCTGCCTCACAAGTGCAAGGACTCAAGTTCGATCCCTGATACTGAAAAAAGAAAATTCTGGGGCCAGGTATTTTAGTTCAGTGGTGCCAAGCCTGCCTTACAAGCACAAGGTCCTGAGTTCGATCCCTGATATGGGAAAAAAATAACTTTTGTAGCTGTGTAAGATGAAGACCCCCAAATTTATTAAAGCATTTCATTTTTCCATTCTAATATACTTTCTGTCAAAATAAAGATGCACAATTTTCCAAATGCTATTTACAAGTAAAGCTAAATAAGCAAAAAGGCTACGTTTCAAACCAAGGACACCAGAATGTAATTATCCCACGGTACACACACACACACACACACACACAGAAGAATCCAATTCTGCTTACTTTCAGAACTCTCCTCTGCTTTGGAGAGCTCGTCTTCTTGTACTGGTACACTGATGTCCTGGAAATCTTCTCTTCTTTCTGTCAGACTTTCACATTCCAAGCAACGAGTCCTCAATACCAGCTGACCTTGAAATAATTTTTCCACTAGTTCAAAACCAATTTGTTCTGCACCTAAAATGAGAATAGGAAAATATATAAAGTTTATAAAGATTAGTTTCATTAAAGCCCAAACAGCCATTTTTCCAGTGAAATAGCTTCATGAATAAAAGCCCCATGTTCATATCTCAGCTAATTAAGAGGTACTTTATTCGTGAAATGTAAGGTTTCTATTGCTTAAATATTAATTACTGTTGTCTTTAAAAGAAAGTCAGTCGTCTGCTTCTCGAAGACCTCTCTCTACAAAATAACCCAAAACACGGCTAGGACTTTGGTAAAACTATTACCCTTATCAGCACCACCACTTCCCCTCAGATGAAGTAGGCAAAACCAAGTGGAAACTGAATTCAAGTGAAGTGTACTACTCAGTTCTCTACTTTAAAAATTTCACTGAATGCAATTTCCCTTGATTTTATATAAAATACTACATAGATAAAAATAGTCTTTATATTAAGATGTACTTACTTGCCTGGTTATAAACCATAAATTAACATCACTCAACAGTTTTTAAAACACATTCAGTGTTAAATTACTTTCTTAAAATTTTTGCCACACAGATTGTATTCCTCAAAAAACAAAAATTCTGTTGCTAGAGGTGTTAATACTTCCACTTATTAAAGTCTAAGAACTATGGCTGGGGATTTAGCTCAATGGTTTCGCCACCTGCGGCCCAAGCACAGGGAACCCAGTTCAATCCCTGATACCAAAAAAAAAGTCTAAGAATTAGACTGACCTCTGTTTATAGGCTTAACTTCATTAACATCTATAGGTTTGATGTCTTCTGGAGATTCAAGTCCACAACCATGAGTTGTATTGTCGCTTTCGTACTTCCCGAAGTTCTCTTCAAGATCAGACTCGCTTTCTTTACACTGTCCTTTGGATACCTGGCTTGCTGTTAGTTTTCCCAGACTGCAGAATTTAGAAAGAATGCTGGGTTGCTTCGTTGCAGACTTTAACCAATTTATTTTAACTCTTGACTTCTTTTGTGAGGGTCCTATGCTCTCACTTTCAGAAACAAACTTGGGGATTACTTTAGGGGGAGTCTCCAGTGTATCCCCAGTAGCTTTTCTTTTTGATCTCGTTTGTCTCTGGTTCTCATCCAATGACTGGTGGTCCTTGGCAACTCTGACTTTTTTCTTCATGTTACCAAATTCAGTGTCACTTTTTCTTTTCCCATTCCCTTTTGGAGGTTTTTCTTTATAGTCCTCGGAATTCCTCATGTTGTCCATTTCCCTGCTGTTAATGCCACTCACTTCCTCTTTCTGATGAGGCTTTTCTCCTACCTTTGTAGAGAATTCTGTGACATTTTCTACTTGTTCTTTTTTTAGGAGCTGGCATGTTTCTTGAATGTTTCCCAAAATACACTGTAATACTTCCTGTGCATCATGCTGTAGATATCCTTCATACATAGGGTTGAGTTCCCTATAAATAAAAATGCCCATTTATCTGCTCTAATCATGAAGATATATGACAAAAAGAAAATTATTCATTTTAAAAATCCAAAGAATCGACTAACTTAAATCATTGCACCTAAACTTATAACTAAATGCAAATTTTACAATTTTTTATTATAGCAATACTTTGATCTTCTAAGTGTATTAAAAGTAGTTAATACTGATATAGTATTTACTTTATATGGGTTTCATTAAAATGTGCTTTTTATATTATATGTATATATAATCCCACAATAACTCCAAGAAGTAGGTACTGTTATCACCACAACTGACAGTTATGGGAATTAAGTCAGAAATTAAATACCTTGGCCAAGGACATAGAGCTTCGAAGGTAAGATGCAAAGCCAGGACTCCAGCATGCTCTCAATGACGACTATGCTACAGCGCCTCTTAGCAGAGGTAAAGCCAGTGTACTGCCCTATATCTATATCAAACTGAATAAGTGAGTTTTTAAAAATACCCTATTAGGACCACCCACTTGGGACCCCTCCTGAAAATCCAGGAGTTGTTCTAATATCCAATAAAACTCTCCTAACCTCCAAAAAAACAAAATAAAAACCCTATTAAACTTTAAATGCTATTTTCTATATTTTCTTTAATGTAATACCACAAAGCAGTCTAACCCTGTTAACTGGTAGTTTTTTCTAAGCATATATAATAAAATACAGGGCTGGGGATTTAGCTCAGTGGTTCCATTGCCAGCCTCGAAAGCGCAAGGACCTGAGTTCTATCCCCAGTACCAAAAAAAACAAACAAACAAACAAACATGAAACTTACAGTTCTTACATGAGACATTTTGAATATAAACCTGTAATTCCTAATCTGAAATCCTTAGGGTCACAAGTGTTTGGGAATTCTGAAATTTTCAGATCCAAAGATAATATGGCACGTAAGTAAAATGTGAATCATGAATGGGATAATACTTTATGGTTAAACACATCACTATTTTCATAGAAAAACTTGTGACTATTCACATTAGTGATAAGTCTGAATAATAACCATAAATAGCCTCATCCAAGCTGAAATCTAATGAATTTAGTATCAAATTTATAAAAACATTTCCAGTTTTCAGAGCTCCTGGGACGGAAAGGACTCTGAACCTGGTGTTTCAATTTTCTTATTTATTCACATATAACTCTCCTCTAAGGCTAGAAAACAAGCAGCTCACTGGAAATGTAAACACAGACACTGTACCTGAGTGTGTTAAGCAGTCGTCTTGGCTGAGTAGCAAGCTCATCAGTGTATTTCTCTGGATTTAGGAGGAAACTAGCCTGAAGCTGTTCCACTGAAATGATTAAGGACTGTAAACTGCATATAAGTTCATAACTCGCCAAAGAATCTTCTTTGCAATTTCCCTGTCAAGAAAAGGAAACCGATGTTTTCATGTATGAACAGATTAAGTACAGTCTTCATTCTGGATTGGTCTCATTAAGCAATACTAGCTTTTCTAAATTTAATTTCATTAAAATGCTAATTTTACTGGGTATACAGATAAACTTTTTTTAGCAGTAGAAAAACAATGTGAGCTCTATCCCAGCCCTTTTTGAGATGGGGGTCTGTTGCTAAATTGCCATGGGTGGGCTTGAATTTGTAATCCTCGCCCTCAGACTCATAGAGTGCTAGCTTACAGGAGTATACCACCGTGCCTGGCTACAAACTTTTCAAAGTAGCTATGTGGCTAATAATGACTAAGTGAAAGATTTCTTCAAGTGTATTTATTCTTAATTGGGGCTAGGGGTATGTGGCTCAGTGGTAGAGCATGTACTTAGCATGGAAAAGGCCTCAGGTTCAATCTTCAGCACCAAAAAAAAAACCTATTTCAAACACAGTGGATAGGGGCTGGGGATTTAGCTCAGTGGTTCTGCCGCCTGCCTCGAAAGCACAAGGTCCTGAGTGCGATCCCCAGTACCAAAAAAAAAAAACCCCCACAGTGGATAATGGTTATGACAAACTATGTGGTACACAAATGCCAAGTATGACAAGCAGTGCATAGAAGGGATGGAGAAAATAATATGTCATCTTCCTCCCAAATGCTCTTGAGAATCTATTTTTTACTTCTAGGCAAGTAAATTTTCATTAACTTTTTAAAGTTTTTTCATTATTTTGCCTTTTTTTGTACCTTGTCTTTTTGATTGGCTTCATCCTTTAGTGCCTCTTTCTTCTTTGAAATAATATTAAATAAGTGCTTCACTCCAGATTTAAAACCAGGACAAAAATATAATACCTGTAAAAAGTTGGGAGTTTATAGAAGAAAGGCTGTATCTAAACCACTAGTCACTACCATGCTTTCATAGCGCCCTTTCAACCTGGGTACCTGAAGCCCTGACGCCGAGCCCGAGCCCGAGCCCAAGCCCCGAGCCCCGAGCCCCCAGCCCCCAGCCCCCAGCCCGTCCTGCCTCACCTGCCAAGCCCACTGGTCTTCCCTCTCACTGGCGGAGGCTGTGTGGCTAGGCTCATCCCAAGATACTGACCTGAGGCTCCCAGGACACACAACACAACACCAGCAGTTCCCAGAGGTGATGCCCCAGGAACCAGGCCAATCAAAGGGTTCCACGGAACCAAGGTCTACTCAATTGTGCTATCTCACCGTTATTTAATACACCATTTTCTCCCACCCCAAGGACAATGGGTACCATGCAATTTAGAATCATTACTATTTTAGAATCATTACATCCATTCTGGCTCATTTATAAAGGCAAAGACAATATGAACAATTAGTTTTCCAATAACCTGAATTTCTCGGAAACAAATGTTACATCAATCTTTGCCTATTAATGTTTTATTTAGTACAGAGCAAAATTATCAGTTTACCTGAAGTATACTATTAAGATAACAAGTATTGCCAAGATTATTCAGTCCCACAAATGGCAGCAAGTTTTCTCTCTTCTCACAGTTTATAGGTGAGGACTGTGCTGCAGGAACAACTTGGTCACTGTTGAGAGAAGAAAGGTATAATGAAATAGCATCTTAAAGTGTAAAAATTTTAGATGAAATTTTAAGAGCTCTGTACAGCCTCAAAAATTGGCATATACTCAGATTAAGAGATTTTAAAACATTTCACTCAACAAGCCTCAAAATGACTTTAAAAGGATATTAACCCATTTTCCAGAGTAAAAAACTGAGGAACTAAGACTGTGATTTCTAGCCCACTGTGACATTTTAATTAGCTTAATTCTGAAGACATGTTGGAATAACCTGAGTTATCGTATGTCAGATTCTGTTAATAAATGAGAACTTTACAGCTATCCTTCACTTAGTTGTTCATTTTTATCACTCTTTAACACAGTGGGCCACCCAGTATTTTACTTTATAACCAATGGCTGTTACACGAGCTCCTCAAATGGACAAGAATGAATGCTGATGAACGAAAGGTACATAATCTCAGGTGATTGCTGGTGGTGTCAGACCACACGAGACCAAACCCGCTTCACCCAGCGGTGTCTTAACTGAGGAACCAGGATAGCCTCCAGGCAGAGTAACCTGGAATAATGCATTCCATTTTGTGCTATTTCTTTTCATCACTAAAGGAGTTGTGCATCAAATGCATATCTTGAAGGTTTGGTGTGTTTGTTTTGGTTTTTGGATTTTTGTACTGTGAAATGAACCTGGGGCCTTTGCACTCAGCTACATCCTCTTCCCTTTTTTATTTTCAGACAGGGTCTCACTAAGTTGTTAAATTGCCTAGGCCAGGATGGAACTTGTCATTCTTCTGCCTCAGCCTCCCAGAGTGCTGAGATTACATATGTGCAACACCATACTGTGCTTTAAATTTGTTTTAAATATTAATTAGTAATTGTATACCTCCAGCAGCTATAAGCAGTATAAATGCATACCTACATATAACTACATTAACTACACAGCTAAAATAACCCAGGTTAAGCGTATGGCTTGTAAGGCACTCCCTGTCATTTTTCTTTTCCCTTCACAATGTGTTGCACTACAGATAACCAAGTGTAAACTCTGAGAGGCAATTAATGATTAATTTAGCCAATTAATACATCTTCACATCAGTCTAACGGACTAGGACAGCATTAATACTGTCAATGAGCACAGTGGGACCCCTAGGAGACCCCTGATTCACTGCTCCTCCTGCCCACGCTGGTCCCCCACAGCATCCTCCACTTTGACCACCTCTGGTCTATCAGGTCAGTCTGGGGTTCTCAAGCCAAGTTCAACGCTTCTTCATGATTCAGAGTTTTAAAAGCATAGAAATACACTTAAAATACATACATTTCTGATCCTCTATATTCAGAAGCTTTTTCTTCATTTTCTTGAGAGTCTGTAAAATCTAAGGCTCTCTTAGTTTCCTTTTTCTGAAAAAACTTCAAGGAAAGTCTGTTTTTCTTAGATGGACTACCTCTTGAAAGCCCATTACTTTCACTAGGTATGACACCAGGCATTTTCTTTCCAAATCCCAATGAGCTGACAAGAATTTATAGAGGGCAACTGTAATCAGCAATTTTATCTGTTAATCACAAACCAAAAAAAAGTTTTATTAGTCCTCAGTTATCAGTGTAAACAACAAAATCATCAGCTGTGAGACAGATTTACCAAGGGAACACCATAGATTAGAGCTTCATATTTGAAAACCTACTGCCTGGCAATCAGCCTCGATTTTACTGCTTAAATGAAGGAGCTGGCCAAGGTGTCCTAACTTGTTTTGTGACCAAGTAGACCAGGCTAGCCTCAAACTCCTGATCTTCCTGCTGCAGCCTCTGGAGTACCAAGATTACAGGCATATGCCTGGCCTTGCCTAAATTCCTTAAAGAACAAAAAATGTAACTGTGCCCATTGGTGGTGAATGTTTAGAATCCCACCGCTGGGGAGACAGGCAGGTTACTGAGGTCGAAGCCAGCCTGTGCTACATGGCAAGATCCCATCTCAAAAAGCCAAAAAAGCGCTGGGGATGTGGCTCAGTGGTAGAGCACCCCAGGGTTCAAGCCCCAGGACTGGGGTGAGGGGAGGCAAAAATCTGACACTTACGTTATTAGCCTGTTAGAGATTAAGGATCACAACACAAAATACACCATTTAGTAGAACTACAGCGAAACACTGGGAGGCACACACATGTAATTCTAGCTCTCTGGGAGGCTGAGGAAAGAGAATCACAAGTTCAAGCCCAGTCTGGGTAACTCAGCAAGACCCTGTTTCAAAAAATAAAGGGCTGGGGCTGCAGCTCAGTGCAAAGGCCCTGGGTTCAATCCAGTATCGCACCAAAAAAAAAAACAAAAACAAAAAAGGAAAATTTGAGCTAGGCGTGTTGGTGCATGCCTATAATCCCAGCACTCGGGAAGCTGAGGCAGGATTGCTGCAAATCCCAAAGCACCCTGGACTACACAGCAAAATCCAGTCCAAAACAAAACCTCAATTTCTCATTGTAACTTATTAACTCATTAAAAAAACGAAGACTAAGTAACAACCATCTCTAATTCTAAATTATGAGGTGGGAAACAGGGATGAATGGAAAATCAGCAGGAGACACTAAGGAGTCCTCTCTTCCAAGGCCTTCTCAAGTTAAAGCGAACGTATAAGGACACTGTTAACGCATAACGAAGAGAGGCACAGATCTAGCGGTGTTCGCTTATACCCATCAACTTCAACGAGATACAGCGGAAGCGAAGCTGGGACAGCGGTTGCGATACTGTGTCTATCAAGTTCGTACGTGCTAAAATCCGCAATATCCTAGTTTTCCAAACTTTTTAAAAACAGACTTTTTTAAAAAATAGCTTAGAGTAGGAAAAAGGATGACACAGTCTGCCGTTTGCAACTTTCTACCCTGTCTTAAGGTGAAACGTCACACCTCGGTCCTCCCTTCCGAGGCTGCGGCAGATGCGCTGCCCGGTTGGCGCCCGACTACGCGAAGCCCCTGGGCAGCGCGTCCCACGCGGGCTCGGAAGGGCGCGACGAGCTCCCAATCACGCCCTTCCGAGCCGGGCGCCGACGCCGGCCGGGCGCTCGCGGACCCCGCGTCCCACCCGCCGCCGCCTGTCACGGGGCGCCCGACTCCGCGCCGGCGGCCGCACGCGAACGC